GGGATATAGTCCCATTAATCTATGAATTCCTTGGGGGTAGGGGCTGCTTTTGCCATTCTTTGTATCCCCACGGGCCTTAACACATTCGCTGACATATTTCAGTCATGTCTGACATTTTGTGACCCCATTTGGGGTTTTCTTGGCAGAGATACTGGAGTGGTTTGCCATTTCCTCCTCCACCTCATTTTACAGATGAGGAAACTGAGGCAAACGGGGTTAAGTGACTTAAGCACTTTACAAATATTATTTCATTTGATCCTTAAGTGACACCCAGCTAATAAGTATCTGAAACTGGATTTGAACTTGGGTCTTCCTGACTCCAGGCTTGATACACATTTGATACACACACACATATATACATATACATATATATATATATATTTGTAAATATGAGAAAGATTTCTGATTTCATTGGTATGGGAATCAGAGATTCCTGGTGGAGGAACTTCCTATACAAAACAGACACACATTTGTGATTTAGTAGCTGGGTCTTAGGGATCCTGAGAAGTTTAAATGACTTGATCACATGATAAAATTTTGTGACCACATAATGGTCACATAATAAAAATGAGAAGTAGTCGAGGTATGTTGCTGGCTCTAAAGTCTGGAGGTCTTCTGTCTAGTCCCTCTTCAGCCTCCTTTATTGGACCATCATCTCTGTCTTGGTCCATAACTTTGGGTGTAGAACAAACCCATCCTGGTCCCTCTTCTTATTTCTCCCTATGTTCTCTCTCTTAGTGACCCCATCACCTGCCCTGGTTTCAGTCATCTTCATCCAGGTGACTCTCAGATCAACATTTCCAGCCCTAATCTCTTTTCTGAGCTCCATTCCCACATCACCAACTGCCTATTGAAGATTTTAGACTGGATGTCCGATAGGCACCTCAAAGTCCACATGTCTAAAACAAAACTCATTCTCTTCCTCCTCAACTCAGCCCTCCCTTCCTCATTTCTGTCAAGAGCATCACCATTCTACCAGTCACCCAGATTCACAACCTTGGAATCATCCTGAATTCTTCACTTTCCCTTAGTTCCCAAAATGGTCAGTTTCCAAATATCCTGCTTCTTCAACAGCTTTAGCATCTGACCCCTTCTCTCTACCTGCAGGGTTTGGGCACATATCAGCTCTCACTGGCTTATTGTAATAGCCTATAATTGGTCTCCCCCATTCAAATCTGTTCCCTCTGTTCTTCCCCAAGCTGCCCAAGTGATTTTCCTAAAGCATTGGTCTGATCTGTTGCTGCTCCGTATATCACTGGAACACTGGCAGGGGACCATCCAGCATGGCGCACCCACATCAAAGAAGGTGCTGTGCTCTATGAGCAAAGCGGAATTGCAGTAGCTCAAAAGAAACATGACATGTGTAAATTTAGAGCCATCTCCACTCCAAATGTTGATATGGACTATTTGTGCCCAACCTGGGGTAGAGCCTTCCAAGCTCGTACGGGTCTGATCAGCCACTGTCGGACACACTGTACATTGACTCCAACGTCATGATGTCATTTTGGTCCTCTTTGAGTACAAAGGACAACAATAACAACATTACTGTTGCTCCCTATTGCTTGGGAAAACACAAACTCTTCTGTTTGACATTTATACCCCTCCTTGGCCTGACTCCAGACTGCCTTTCCAGCTTTATTACACATGACTCCCTTTCACACGCACTAAGGTCCAGCTAAACTTGCTGTGCTTTATAGTGGGCTGTTCCCTTTAACCCCTGTTCCCACCACCAGGGACCCTCTCCTCTTCTCTTCATAGAAATCCTAATTTTCTTCAAAGTTCAGTTCAATTCACTACTTTTTACATGAGTTTTCCTGAGGTAGTTCAGTGGAGACAGCACTGGGCTTGTAATCAGGGAGATTCATCTTCCAGAGTTCAAATCGGGCCTCAGATATTTACTAGCTGTGTGACCCTGGGCAAGTCACTTAACCCTGTTTGCCTCAGTTTCCTCATTTGGAGAATGAACTGGAGAAGGAAATGGCAAACTACTCCATTATCTTTGCTAAGAAAACCCCAAATGGAGTTTACAAAGAGTCAGACGCAACTAAAATGACTGAAAAACAACAAACTATTAGTATTCTGCTCCCAACTCAGTTGCCTTGTGTTTACTTTACAAATATTTGTAGGTATATATTGTCTCCTGGGGCAACTAGGTCATACAGTGGATAGAGCGCTGGGCCTGGAGTCTAGAAGATTCAACTTCTTGGGTTCAAATCTAGCCTCAGACATGTAATAGCCGTGTGGCCCTGGGCAAGTCACTTATTCCTGCCTCAGTTTCCTAATTTGTAACATAGGAAGAATAATAGCACCTCCTCCCTCTGGGGGTCATTGTGAGGATCAAATGAGGTGATAATTGTAAAGTGCTGGTGTATAGTAGGCACTATGAAATGCTGATTTCCCTTCTTGGATTTCATCTAGTGCCAGGCACTAAATACTGAGAGTACAAAGACAAATACACTTTTCCAGTGTGCCAGGAGCTCCCAGTCCAATGGGGTAGACAATATGGCTGCAGACTGTTCATACAAGATAGAGGATTCATGATAGGGAATCTCCGAGGGAAAGAATGGGGGTAGGGAGCATCAGGAAAGGGCCCTTGCAGAAAGTGGAACTTGAGTTGATCTTAAAGGAGGCAGAAGCAAGAAGGAAAGAGTATCCAGGCATGAGAACAGTCAGTGAAAATGCTGGGAGGGTTTTGTTTGAGTATCAGCAGGAAGACAGGTGTTTCTGGATTGCAGAGTAAGTGGAAGGAAGTAAAGTCTTGGAAGACAGGGAAGGTAGGAAGGCGCTGGATTATGAACCGACTTTGGGGCAGTTCAGGGAAGGAGTCTGGCTGCTTGTTGCCGGGTAGGGATCAAAAGTTTGCTTTGGATAATCCACAAAGTGGAAAGTTTACTGTGGATGATCGAGGTGGATGGTTAACCAATTCCCTCTTATTTCCCCCTCACTCCCAGCCTCCCAACTGTGCTCCTTTCTCCAACCCCTGTCCTGTCTCTTGCATGTAGCTCCCACACACTAGAAACCCAGCTGCTAGCTGGGTCCTATTTCATGGGCAGCGTCTTCCTTGGGCAGTCCTAAGGCAGGGGATGCTCAAGAGCCACCCTGGCGAAGAATCGGTGTTTGGGATCTTTGGGGTGTGAGAATATTCTCGACCAGGAGCCCCTATGCCTATCTCAGGTGTGGGGGACCATGGATACTGCATCCTCTCGGGGCTATTTCCTGGTTGCTGCTGGTTTCATGTAACCCTCTCAGGCAGCCAGGAAATCAGCTCTGTGGCATACAGAAAGCCATATGGAATTCCACTTTTAAGTCCTTCGGAACTCCCAGAAAAGACTTTTCCGATAGAATCTTGACTTTAAGCTATGAATATTCTACTCGAAATTGGATTCTCTTCTTTTCTTGCACATATTAAAAAACAAAAACCTTGCCTGACTTCTGAGTTGACCAGGCAGAGGCTCCGTGTTAGGTCAAGCCGACAAGTATTCATTAAGGGACTGGCATGTGCCAGGCACTGTGCTAAGCAGTAAGGACACAAAGAAAGGCAAAACTGCTCCCTGCCTTCAAGGAACTCCCAGTATAATGAGGGAGAGAGCATGAAAACAACTCTGTACAAACAAGTCAGATAGAGAATCACTTGGGGGTAGTCTCAGGGGCAAGGCACTAAGGTTAAGGAGTTCTGGGGAGGGCTTCTTGCAGAAGGTGGGATTTGAAGGAAGTCAGGAGGCAGAGACGAGGAGGGAGTGAATTCCAGGCTTGGGGAACAGCCAGAGAAAAGACACAGTTGGACGATGATACTGCATCTTGCAAAATATAGCAGGGAAGTCAATGTCGCTGAATCATAGAGTGCCCAGGTGGAAAAAGTCTGGAGAGGTAGGAGGGAGCAGGTTATGGAGGATTTTAATAGCCAAACAGAGGATTTTAGATTTAATCTGAATTAGGGTTATGACATGGTCAGACTTTCACTTTAAGAAGATCACTTTGACTGCTGAGTGGAAGATAGACCGGAGTGGAGAGAGACTTAAGGCAGGTAGACCAAGCAGTGGCCTCCTTGATAAAAGCAAGATGCTCCAACTTAAATGATGGCTCTGGGCCTCAGTTTCCTTAAATGTAAAAGGAAGTGGTTAGACTCCAGCTCCCTTTCAGCTTTGGATCAATGATTCCTCAATGCTGTATAAAGAGAACTTAGGGAAGAGTGCTAAATATGGGAGAAGAAGACCTGAGTTTGAATCCCAGCTCAGTACCTTAGTTACCAAGGGGTGACCTTGGGAAAGTCACTTCAACACTTGGAGCCTCCATGTGGTATTGTTCAGTCGTTTTAGCTGTTTTCTACTCTCTGTGACCCTATTTGGGGTTTTCTTGGCAAATATACTGGAATGGTTTGCCATTTCCTTCTCCAGCTCATTTTACAGATGAGGAAACTGAGGCAAGCAGGTTTAAGAGACTTGCCCAGGGGTCACACAGCTAGTAGATATCTGAGGCTGAATTTGAACCCTGGTCTTCCTGACTTCAGGTTGAGCTCTATATCCATTGTGGTGCGCAACTGTCCCTGGAGCCTCAGTTTACCCATATGTAAATAAGAGTTAAATGGCCTCTGTGGTCCCTTCCAGTCCTAAATCTGTGTTCCTAGGATCATTGAGGTTCCTTCCAGCCCCAAATTTGTCATCCCAAGATCCGCAAGGTCCCTTCTCCAATTTTAACATTTCAGGATGACCAGTTGCATCCTGTAAGCAATGATTCTAAGTGGAGTTGCATCAGGAAAAGATGCATTCTTTACGGAATGAACGCCATCATGTCATTCCATCTCTGGGGCTGTCCTATAGGGTGAGGTTGGAGAGCGCAGAGTGCGACCGTTGGGGGGAGGACGGAGGAGAAGGGGAAGATGTCTATTTTTCTCCATCCCAGCCACCTTGGGCTATGTTAGGAAAAGGCTGCTCTTGTACCAAGTTGGAGCTGGGTAGAAGCTCCTCCCCTGGGGTGGTGGAACAGGAAGAGGTGGGGGGTCAGGAGCTCCGCTGTGTCTGTTCAGAGAGAGTGTGTGTCTGCGTGTGCGTGCGTGCATGTGTGTGTGTGTGTGTGTGTGTGTAGTTACCGTTACCATTTTATTATGTGTGTGTCTTATATTACAGCCATGCTGAACATCAGCGGCCAGAGAGAGAGGAGAAGGGAGGAAAAGCCTGTTTACACAGACTGCAAACCGCCTGGGGAATAGCGCAGTAAAGGAAGTGAGCCCGCTCTCTGTCTGACTGCTCCAACTTCCTGCTCTCTCTCACACACAGCAGAAAAAAGAGAGAGAGAGAGAGAGAGAGAGAGAGAGAGAGCGACAGAAAAAAAAAAGGGGGGGAATCAGGATCTCATTACAAGAGAAACAGACCGTTCGCAGACGCCTGTCAGCATGGAAAATCAGGGGATTTTACCCAGTTCCTCTTAAAATATTACCCAGCAGAAGAATTGGTTAAAGCTCATCCGACATCTGGGTAAGTTGAGGGGGCTTCGCTCGCTTGTGCGGTTGCAAAGTGAGAGCTGCTGCAAAGTTTGCGTGCTCTTCGGGGGCCGGGACTAGGGGTATCGGGTGGGGATCTCTGCGGGGCGGGGGGCCCTCTCCTGGGGACGGCTGTTTTGTTGCAGAGGCTGTGTGTGTATGGGTATATGCGTCTGCAGCTGGACAGACGGACCCATGCTGCTTGAGCTCCCTTGGCGGCCACTCCCCGGGGCAGATACTCGCCCTGATCCTTGGGCCGTCTGCCCCACTTTGTCTGCTCCTGTGACCAGCGGGTTGCAGGACTACTTTCTGAGCCTCCTTATTCTGGAGCAGGGGAGACAAAAGCAGTAGGGATGCTCTTACATCTTCGGGGCGCTCCCCCTTTTTCCTGTCTAGAGTACTTGCAGTGGGGAGTGAGGCGCACCCCGAAGGGTAAGGGGGGGTGGATGGGGAGGGATGGACAGGGAAGATTGGAGACTCCTCCCCAATCTTTCAGGGAGAGTGTCTGGAAGGAAAGGGGGCAGAGAGGACAGCTGTTTGAGCCTTGGAGGGTGTGCTTATTTCAGCCCTGAGTTTAGAAGAGGCTGCAGCCGTCCTAGGTGGACCTCTAGGGTGGAGGGAGGGCAAAGCCTCTTCTGAAGAAGTGAAGGGTTCTGGAGGAGGGGAAATGATGGCACTTCTTGGGGGAAGAGGTGGAGGTGGGATGGGGAAGAGAGTATGGAGCAGTCACTCTGGGGAGAGCCCTGACCTCCCTTCCCACCCCATGTGGGACATTTAAAGGTCCCTGAAGCTAGCAGAGATTGGAGCCAGGGCCAAGAGCAGGGGAGATGTATGCTTCAGCCCGGCCAGTACTGCTTTCAGAGAGTGCAAATGTTTGTCAATAAAGTGTAGGGGGTGGGTAGGCGTGACATTGCGGGGAAGGTTGCTTGTGCATTTTCTTTTTCTTTTTCCAGTCAAAAAAGGAGTTTTGGGTTTGTTGGCTAGGCTTCCCCAGCTGATCAAAGTGTGTGCTGGGAGGAGGAGGAGGAGGAGGAGGAGGAGTCATTTCTGGGGCTGGGGGTGGGAGCAAGCGCTATGATTTCAGAAACTGCAAAAGGGGCTTTAAAAAAAAAAAGAGGAGAGTGTCGGGAGAATTTCTGGCTTGTCTGGAAACAGGAGGACTAATTGCCATGCGCTTCCGCTTTGAAACTGGCACCAGACAACATCTTGAAAATGAGTCACTTCAGCAGCTCACAAAGAAACTCTGTGGTTTTTCTCCTGCTCAGGTTTATGTATTTGCGCTTTTTACAGTTTCCTTTGTAGTCTTCAAGAGTCTCTCCAGCCCCCAGCCCCCTATTCCTGCCGTGCCGCCCCCCCCCCCCCCCCTTTCACCCCCCCCCCCCCCCCTTTCCCCCCCGCCCCCCCCCCCCCCCAACTTTTTAAAGCCCCCTGGCCCGCTTTGCCACTTTCCACCCTCCTGGAAAAAAAAAAGGGGGGTGGGGAAGAGAAAAAGGAGAGAGTTGTTTTTGGATTTGGCTTTGCAGGAGAAGGTTAGAAAGACTGATGCTGCAGGGGGAAAAAAGTTCCCTGAATTTTCCACTGGCTTTTGCAGGAAGAGAGCCCCTTCAGTCACCGCTAAGTAATGTCTACACACACACACACACACACACACACTCTCTCTCTCTCTCTCTCTCTCTCTCTCTCTCTCTCTCTCTCTCTCTCTCACACCCCAACTAATCTCATTAGGAGTTTCCGTTCTTTTAACACAGGAGGGTTTTTGTGAAGCCAACCCCTGCCCTGCCTTTCTCAGACAGAGCCCAGCGACTGAAAGGGAGACAAGTTACGTCTTTATTTATTTAGGGGCTCAGGAACAAAACAAGACTTTCCAGGCTCAGCAGCTTTGCAACGAGTATAGCCCCTGAAACTTTTGCAGACTCTCATCTCTCCCTTTGCCTTTATTACTATTATTTTTTTCTTTTTCTGGCCAGCCAGCTTGCCTTTCCCCTTCCCTAATTTGTTTTGCATGTGTTTTGAGCCTTTTTGGCTTCCAGAGTTTCTTGCAGACCCATCTTCTCAAATATTTACTGTAGTTTTGGTTGGGGTGGGGAGGATAGGGTTGGGGAGGGAGAGAGAAGCTGAAACATGTTCCAGACATCTATTAATGACCCTAAATCAATTTCAGATCCCCGTTGCCAAGCAAAATAACCCTCTGATATCTCCCCCTCTGTTGTACAAGTTTATTTGGAAAAGGTCAGTTATGAGTTTAAATTTATGGGGATTATAAAGTTAGAGATTGTCTTAGAAGGTTCCTGGATCTGTCCATAGAGAAAGCTGCCTATAATCAGATTTTTTTTTAGAGGTGCCAGTAGTAAACTTGCAAGTAGAAATTGTGTGTGTGCGAAAGACTCTGGCATTTATATGGTAGTTATGAAAAGGATGAAAGCTTTAGCAGATAAGTTTGTTTTTTTTTTAACCTTTTGTGATTGCAGAGAAATGTAGTTATTCCATTAAAAAGATAAAGGGGTGTTAAATTGAGCAAAAAAAATTGAGAGATTGAGCTTGAGAGACACTTGAGAAGTGCCCTGTGACCCTTTTCTATCTTGGAGTATTAGAAGATTTTGTAGTTGCTGGATACCTTAGGCAGATCCAATACCCCACTTCAGGGGGCACCTTGGTGTAGTTAGAAGTGTTGGACTTAGAAACTTACTGAATTGAGTGGAATTGAATTGTGCTTCAGATACTGACCCTATCACTTGTGGAGGGAGTGGGCAAGTAACTGAGCCTCAGTTTCTTTGTCTGTAAAACTGGGATAGAATAGGAGTACTTTGGGTAACCTCTCTCTAGTGGTCTTTGGGAAGAAGGTCCTTTGTAAACTTTAATGGATCATATACATATGGATTGTTAAGGAGAGGGAAATTGATTAGCAATATGGCCTCAGGGTCAGGAAAACCTGGGTTCTAGACTGGATTGTGATCCTTACTGGCTGCTCAGTGATTTTAGGCAAGCAAGTCCCTTAATCTCTCAGTTTCTCAGGCAACTAAGACTGTTTCTTCGAAGGTGCTGACCTACATTATCAGAAGGAATTCCCTCATCCTCAAGTCTTAAATTCAGTCTCTATCAAATCAGATTCAGTCTCTATCTCATTATTAGAATATAGCAAAGCAATCTGGCCAGTGTGAATTGATCTCTCCTCGTTGACCAGGTACAGTGGAGGAAACTGAGGCAACCAGAGGTTATGTGACTTGACTAGGTTCACACAGCTATTAAGTATTTGAGGCTGGATTTGAACTCAGATCTTCTGCCTCCAAGCACTAGTTGTCTCTTCTTTCTTTTTATCCAATAGGCAGATATGCATATTTGTTCCCTACAAAGCTGATAGCAGAAGGATTACTCTAACAAAAAGCTTTCAGATTAGTGGTCTGGTCCCCCTGAGATTTCTTTAAGGATGGAGATTTAGGGCATTCCCATTTTTAGATACTGCCCCTCTTAAAATTTAAAAAGCTGAAGGTCTTAGAATTCAGACTGTTGCTTGGAATGCATTGGGTCTGATCACGATTTCATATTTCACTACTGGACTGGACATTTAAAGTTGTAATCTTCAATGCTGTCAATGCACAGATAAATTATATTTTTTTCTTGAAAAAAAAATACAGTAAATTGCATTGATACTATCCCAGTGGCATAGCTTTTTTGGCCACATTGGACAAGTTTTAGGTTTCTAGGCTTCTGGACATTCAAGTAATGCTGCTTATAGGAGCTTAGGCTTTTAGAAATGGAAGGGACCCCTGAGTTCATCTAGGGCGGGGGTTCTAACCTGCTTCTGTGTATCCTGGAGGCGTTTGGGTGATTGTTGAAGCCAACAAATCTTTTCTCAGAATCATGTTTTTAAATTGCATAAAACAAAATACACAGGATTACAAAGGAAACCAATTCTATTGAAATAGTTACGAATATTTTTGTAAAGTTCATGGACCCCCCAGGTTAAGAACCCCTGATCTAGTCCAACCTATACATAGCAGCTAGCAGTTACATCGAATTTTAAGGTTTGCAAAGCTGTTTAGTCTGTTGTCTCATTTGATCGGTTTACACATGGACAAACTGAGGTCTAGAGAAGAAAAGTGACTTCCCAGGACAACACAGAGAGTGAGTGTCATACCTGAGAGTCAAACCCAGGTCTTTGGATGCCAAATCCAATATTCTTTCCACTGTACCAAACTGTTAAGACTGTATTGGGTTCAAGAAAGATTTATTAGGCAGAAGCTACTGATCATCATAGTGAATAGAATGGAGGATTAGTAGTTGGAAAGACCTGATTTCAAATCCCTCCTCAGACCCATTAGCCATTTCACTTAAATTCTCTGTACCTCACTTTGCTCATCTGTAAAATGGGGGGGGTGGGCTCTAGATCCTAAGGTCAGTACAGTCTTTTGAACTACAATAACCTAGTTCCTGGAGACACAAAGACAAAAGTGAACAAACTAGAAATAGTGCCTACCCTCCATTTTCTTGGAATGACTGATGTTAGGTGAAGTAGGAGAGAAAATATAGATTATTTGCTGACCCACCTGAATGTTGTGGCTTCACACATTGAAAGAGGAAGGGAATCTGCATTTAGCAAGCACCTACTGCATGCCAGGTGCTGTGCTAAGCACTTTCCAAATATTATTTCATTTGATCCTCATAACCCTTAGAAGTAAGTACTATTATTATCATCCCCATTTTACAGTGGAGGAAACTGAGGCAACCTTGACCAGGATTACATAGCTAGTAAGTATCTGAGGCTGGATTTGAGCTTGGGTCTTCCTGCCTCAATCCACTGTACCACCCACCTGCCCTTTCTTCTTTTTCATCAGGAATAAAATCTTAAAATGGAATAATATGCGTGGATATATCCCTGAGATGATGTCTGGTCATCTGCTTTTATAACATCACTAAGGGGTTTAGAAATATGGCTTGACTCTCTTCCTAAATATACTCCTAAGCAAGGTGCTTTTTGGGCAGTAGGTGAGAAATGAT